GGACTGGCTTCTGAGGCAGAAGCTCAGTATTCTGCCTACTGCTAATGACACCCTCTTGGGTCCAGTCATCCCTGATGCCCAAAGTGTCTACAGCAGAAGGATTTTCTCCATTCCTCCCCTTTCTCCTCAGTACCCTCAGTTTTTCTACTCCTCCCCATTTTGCTGCTGAGGCTCCGAGCCCAGGGAGGGGACCGATCACTCTCTTCCCCACTTCTGTCCTCCCCAGCTGGTAAGACCAGCTGTGCTTTTGCACCTGAAAGTGAGGAAACAGAGAAAGATCAAGTGACCTGTTCGTAGTGTGGTACAAACTGGCCATGATGTCAAGGCAGGCAAACCCTACAGCACACAGATCCTGTCCATGTAGGTCTAAGTAACACTCCTTCCTTCATGGATGTGGCCAACCCATCACTCCTAGCCTGCACTGACCTTTCTGCTTTTTCCCTCAGGTTCCACATGGCGTGGATAGGTGATGTTTCGATGCTCCATGACCAGGATCCGATCAAGTCTCTAGAGATCTGCAGTCCGTCGAGCATCTCCAGACTCTGAGCTGGAGCCCCCTAGAGTTCCGGAAGGATAGGGCTCCTACAGTGAGAAGGATTCTCTTCTACCCTAGGGGCAAGTACCCCAGGTTATCTCATCCAATCATGGAGCCCCTTCCTGGCTTCCGGGGCTTGATTGACAGTTGCTATTGGTTGAGCCTCTTAGGAATAAAACTGAGAAAATTTTGAAGCTACATGAATATGATGTGCTTGTTAGTAGGGGCAAGTAAGATGTAGACGAAGCCCTTCAATTTGCAACTTGGTGAGTCCTTTTGCCCTGGTGAAGTAACTTCCTAGGGAAGTGGACCATTTAACCGGAAGTAACAGTAGATCTCCCAGCAGTTCTAGAAGCCTCAGGAAATGTGCGGAAAATACTTCTTTGTCTAAGGGAGATGATTGGGTCCCTGAATCTTGGTACAGAGTCGATATTACACAAATGCGTTTTTCTGGGAGGCGTTTTGTTTGGCCTTTACAGAAAGTAAAGCACAGGTAGTATATAATGCTTTCACGATACGCCTTTACTGGAGCTTGGGCAGAATTGCAGGGCCTACTAGGTCCGCATACAGATTAGAGGACTCATCTTCACCCGGGCTCCTGGGCATGGAATGGAAGTAGGAAATATCAGGGACGGGATTAGGGACTTTAGTAATACTCTCAAGCTTTGATAAATGCTGGTAAAGTTGTGAAAATTTTCATACCTGTTCTGAAATTCCTCACATTTGTCTTGAACACCCACAAATGCACAAGCACATGCACAAGCACATACATACACATGCACACACACAGACATACACACATGCATGCAAGGACCCATGCAAGCAGGCACACATGCATGCATGCACTCAACATGCATGCACTCACCAACACAGGCATGCATGCACCCAACATGCATGAATACACACATGCATGCATGCAGGCATGCATGCTTATGTACACTCCTAATGTATTCTCTCAGTGATCAGTGTCAAGAGCAGGCTTTTATATATTGGTCTTGATCCCAAAACTGTCAGTCAAGCAGCCTCTTAACTGTCATGTGGCTAGTCTGATCCCATGGTAGCCTACTTTTCCCAACAGGCTCCAGTCACTATAAGACTAGAAAGGCCCTAAATAACTAGCATAATCACATCCTGTTTCTATCTTGGTGTGGTAATATTGGGAGCCTTGGTGCCAGAGTAGGAGTTTTTCTCTCATCATTAGGCTAACCTCAGAGTTCTTGTAAAGTAACTCAGGAGAAAATCTGCACGTTTGTTTCCTGTCCTTTCCTGTCTGTCTTTGTATAACTTGAAACTACTCCTGACAAGGTGTTCAGGAGCTGATGACTGTCTTTCTCATTCTGACCAACTTTGGAAAGACCCCATTTAGGGCCTGAGACTGTACCCACGTTTGCAGAGTCCTTGTCTAGAATGCATAACGCCCTTCCTTAGAGTGTCCCAAGTGCTGAAAAGTACTGGCTGTCCCTCTCTGTGATGCCTCCTCTTACATGATGACCCAAGAATCAGAAGCAACTGTGGAGAGATGGGTTTAACTCCATGTCACTCAAAACACTCTCTCAAAGCAACAACAGAAACATGGCATTTGATTCTATCAATCAGTTCTCATTTCTCCATTTTACTGTAAAACAAGGAAGAATGTACTTGATTCAGTTCATAAGTTTCAGAGAAGACTGATTCAAATTACATTAATTAAATATACGGTGTCTGCACAGTGTTAGGAGAAAAGCAAAGGGAGCTTGCCCCACTTTCGCCTGCACAGGATAGAGTCTCCTCTTGCTTTTGAGTTGAATGTTCACTTGCCTGCTCCCCTGAATCCCGTGAGTGGCCTTGAGTAATGTGCAGACCAAGGGTTGTACTGAACTCATCAGTGTGGAAGAAGGCAGTACTGACTGAAAACACACCCACAGCCTATGGGAAAAACGGAGGCCTTCCTTGAACATGTTTCTGCTCCCACAGGGTCAGAACCGGGGTCTGGTCAGCACAAATGGGAGATGCAAGACTCATCCTGGACAAATAAAGTGAAACCCTGTAAACAATGTGATGTGCAGGGGTCACTGAGGGAGACACTGGGTTGCTGCTTCCAGCAGGAAGACATCTTTGCCAATCTGTTTGCATCTTGCTTATGGAAAGGTTTGCATCTACCTTCCACAATCAGGAAGAAATAGAGTGAAATTTCAACTTTCTTGTTACTGTGTTGCTAACAGAGATGGAGAATGTGACTTTCCCTCATGAATGCCAAGCCTGTGTGACTCCACACAGCCTATCTCCTTCTGGCTCCTGGAGGTTTGGTACCCTAGGGCTCCTCTGGGTCCACAATGCAAATGTGGTCCTGGATCCCAGCTGGTGTGCACCTGAGCATTGCTTTCTTCTCCATGGCCCTCTGTTTGGCTCTATCTCTTATTGTAAAATCACATCTGAAAGCAGAGGAGAACATGGAATGTCTCAGTATGCTGAGTGCTTTTCTGGACACATGCTATATCAGTCACTGGCACTCAAACCACATAGCAGAAGGTGTGTCGAGATGCTCAGACTACTTGGGCTGTGGCATCCAGGGTGCATTCAGTGTTGGGGAACCTTTCTGCACTCCATGGAACTGTGTCTCCTACACACAAACCTGAAGACAGCAGCAGCAGCTGTCACGAATTTATAAACTCACAGCACAGAGACCACACATGGACAGCAGCAGCTTTGTACTCAGTTCTAGAACAGACTGAGCAGGACACATGGACAGTAAATGGATTTCCAATGTTTACTTTTACTGCTATCAAATTCACACATGTTGTTGGGCCTCTCATAAATTCAATAGTGCTGGTTCTTGTAGTTTCATTCACTAGACAAGTTTTCAAGGGTGTTAGCATTCTTTCTAAGCTCCACCCCACAGTTACCTGGCAACAGCTCGGTTGGCCTGAGTCACTATAAAAGGGGCTGTGTTCCCCCTCCTCCCCCTTAGTGTCCTTTTCTCTTGCCCTCTTGCCTACTTTTTCTTCTCTCTTTCCTCCTCACTCCCCGCTCCCTTCCCTAGTCTGTCTCCATGTGCTCTATGCTGGCCTCTTCTCTTCTTCTCTACTCTCTGTGCCTTCCTATGCCTCTATTCCCTTCTTGATTCCCATCCCTATGCTCTGAATAAACTCTACTCTATACTATCCCATTGTGTGGTTGATACCCCAGGGGGTAGGGAAAACTGGGCATGGGCCTACCCAAACATCCCATTCCGACATACTTGAATACATCCCCATAGAACATCTCTCCCCTCTAGCTTTTATAAACACATCAAAGGGCAGTTACTCTTGCTGTATTCCCTTGCTATTGGGACAGTTTTGGCTGTGTGGTCAGGTGGACACAACATCTCAACTAAAAGCAATCCTCCAAGTTACACTGGAGTCCTGCTCTCATGCAAACTCACAAAGGAGGAGGAGCCACTACCACCTGACTGATAAGCACTATTCCAGGTCAATCTGGCCTTATGGCACCTCAGTCACTCTTTGGGACAACTCTGTGGGCATGGTGTGTGTGTGTGTGTCTTCACGCTCATCTCCACAGGGACACTCACCTGGCTGAAGAACCAGGCTCCTTCAACAAAGGGCTTCACCTCCTCACACTATTTAAAGTGTTGTGCTATACCTGCTTGGTCAAGACAATCTATAACAACTTAAGTGAGCTCACACAGATAATTTTAATGGAGTATTTCTTAAGTGGACAGAGGGTAAGAATTCTATGAAGAACATGTTATGAAACCTTTGAACATAGGAATATGTTGGTTTATAGAAAAGCAGTGATATGACTGCATACCTTGTGAGCACATCCGGGTACTGAGTCTCTTGGAACATGGTCTCCAACTCCTGCTCCTGCCATTGTGTGAAGGAGAACCAGGTCTGGTGCCTCCTGCCCTGGCACTGGGGAACCAGAGTGAGCAGGAAGTCTGGCTCCTCCTCCTCAGACTACAAGGGCTCCTGGTCTCTCTGGTCACTTTCAGGATTCAGGTCATTGTCAGGGACCTGGTCGTTGTCCAGTTTACCATGTTGGTTCTCACTGTCCTCCTGGCTTTGTTGGTCATCATATGCAATGCCACCTGTTGACACTGCTGACTCTGTGGAGAGTGGAGGATGTTATTCCCTCACAGTCCTCCAGATAATAGTACCAGTCCTCATAGTAGTCAGAGTGTTTGGGGATCCATGGTTGCTGCTCTTCAGAAGCCTAGAGGCCTGCCCTTTGCTGGTGTTTTGTCAGTAGCCTTGCCTGGGGACTTACAGCAAGCTGGAGACTTACAGGGTCAGGTCTTCCTTGTTCAAACCTGCTATTGGCCCTCTGTGTGCTTCCTTTCCCAGTGGGTGTGCCTCTGAAGTGAGCTTGGGGGTAGTGCATGGCAGGAATCACAGGGGAGTTGGAGGCATGCTGTACCCAGGCACAGAATCATAATTTTAGGACACTTGGTCAGGTACACCAGACAGTCCTGGCCACTGCTCTTGGACCCCAGAGACAACCTTAAAATGGGGCCATGGAAGAGCTCGCCTGGTGAATTTAGCATGGAGTGTGGGGAAGAAGGCAAAAGATCACAATAGGCTTCAGCCTTGAGTGAATTACTGGTGAATTTCTCACCTCTTTTTTTCTCTCTCAGTGCTTTTCTAACAAGATAATGTAGATTATCCAAAGCAGCTCTTGTAAAAAGTAACGTACTCCAAATTGCTGGTAAAGATTCTCCATCAGAGACCTTGTACAATAACCTATATAGGAAGTTTCATGTCTGCAAATGCAGAACCGCATGGGTAGATGCCCTCTTTGTGTAGTAACGTAGATAAACATCTTAGGGGTGCAGGTATATAGGAACAATACCTGTGTAGAGTAGGCACTGTAGACACTTTAAAGGCAACAAACAGAAAAAGTGTGGGTAGTCTTCGTGGAAGAGTGACTGACTCCTGTGCTCAAATGTGTTGCAGGATTCTGGGGACCATGTTGGGTGTTAATAGGAACAGACAGTAAATGCAATATTTTCCTTTGGTTTGTGTCTTTGCTTTTAGTTTGTGACAGTCTCTCATGTATCCCAGGCTATCCTGAACACTACTTGTCTGGTCACTACTGTTCCAGTACACTGGCCTGGTGTGGGACTCTCCCAGC